CCTCGCCCAGTTTTTTGAGTGTTCGTTTCCATTCATTAGCGCGCAATCCTAGTTCTTTAACGACATTGTAGAGCGAAGTGGAAACGAAGCCTCTCGCTCCCACTTCGACGGCAAAGACCCGTACTGTGTACGCCTCGATTCTCCTCAGACCGGCTGCTAAATCACTGTATTTCTCGAGCTTATACGTGTGATTCTCTTCCATACGCGACTCATACGGGACGGTCAACTCAATCAGGATAAGCTGCCGTTTTTGCGCAAAGTGGAGAACTATGTCAGGTCGCAGGCCGGTCTTCCGGATTAACTCGGGGTACCTTTCATGGCCCGGCAGATCAACCGCCAGTAACCAGTCCCTCGCAGAGTCCAGCACAGATGGAGCGAATGCGTTTCGGTTGACCTTACCTTTTGGAACCTGTCCAGCCTTGAGGAAACGAATGGGGACGATGGTAGACGGGCTCTGGCGTTAGCCCTCATTCTAGCCTGGTCAACAACGGCTGCTAACTCTTTTAGCACCTTGTTGTGTCGCCAGGTATATCGGCCTTGACCTAGGGCTTTCCTGCATGCGGACAGGACATGTTCTAGAGTCTGCTTCGCTTTACACAACGGGCAAGTCGGATCGTTAGTCGCAGACCATTTAACCATGTTAACACCGGACGGTAATACATCGTACGCCGAACGAATGATAAAGCTCAGTCGCAGCGGGGTCATCTGCCAGATCTCACCCCATGTGAGTATTCTTGGCAATGCGCTCTCCAGGCTGACCCAATGGCCCTGCTGCGACTGCTGGGCTGCCTTCTGGACCCAAACCTCGTTATAACAACAGCAAGTGCCTTGCCAATTGGCGTTAGCCGGTCTCTACACAAGTCTCTCAGCTAGTCTGTCTGGCAAGTCTCTCCGCAGTCTGCGATCATTGTCTGAATACAATTAGTGTAAAAGCTTGATCTACAAGGGAAAATACAGCGGTTGTTTCCTCCCTGCCTTCCGCATGGTTGTATATGGCCTGACTCCAAAACTGATCAGTCTGACTCCAACATTGATCATTGTTCAATTTAGAGATCATCTACATCAGGCATGACCATATGTGCTCTGATCTCATGAGTATGTGTCCAAATGTTTTTTAGCTAAGAACTCCCATTATGTTCTGGTTCATGTAATGTGGCAACCGCATGGTTTTCCTGTCTTGCTGCTCCGATTGATACACCCAGAGTATGCTGTCTGTTCAGTTAAAAATCATTACCCACGAAACTGAAAGCCTCACAGCGTTTAGTCTGTCGTATGACATTGAAGATGCCTCTTCTGTCCAAAGATGGTCCATTCCTGATAGTCGCACTGCCAGCCAGACGGTCTGCTCTTTCACTGAGTTTCACACCAGTATCCCCAAGAACAAAAATGAAGTTGATTTTGCGAAACGCCGTGTGCTGTATCAGGTGGAGCCACTGTTTCCGTTTATGCATGAATCCAACAGCCTTTATCTAAACAAATGTCCCCTGCAAGGCTGCAAAGGGAGAGGTTATAATGGCAATTCTTACCCTCCATTGGCTGTGTCACAGAAGTTGAAGTATTCTATAGAGCTGACTGTCCCATCAACACATTAAAGACGAATGTTTGGGGGGGGGGGGGGAAGGACCTATGTAAGACGGGCCTGTGTGCCCAATTGGTAACCCTTTGGAAATAAATTTCGTTCGTTCGTTCGCTCGTTTGCCATAGAATTGTACAATTACTGGCGTCTCAGGGGTGTACAGATGTATCTCCAGCTTCGATGGTACACGACTACCAGGGCTTGCACTGGCCAGTACCGATTTACAACTTCACGACCGTGTCCTAAATACGGTTTCCTACCTGGGCTCTGGCCAACCTGGCCAACGTAGAAGGATCAAACTTTCCTTTGAAGTCGGAAGGGTGGGGGTGGGGGCAGGGGAGGGGGTGGGGGGCAGGGGAGGTGGGGGGACAGGTGAGTGGGGCATGAGCCAGAGGCACGAGAAAACTGTAGTATGCATCAAATAAAGTCTGATCCGTAAAAACGAAATTGCAAGTAACACTGAAATCCTGGAACAAGACCAAAGTCCAGACATGAACGACTGATCAGGACTTTCACGGAGTTTACGAACGGTGAACGGAAAAAATAAGAGGATGAGCTGCAGAAAAAGAGGAGGAAGGGGAGAAGAAGGATAATCAACGATAAAAAAGAAGACTAGTTTGTGTTTGTTTTGTGTCCTGCACTGAGACAAAGAAAAACACACTAGAGACGCAAGAAGAACTTACATTTTAATCCATGCGCCGTCAGTTCCTTTAGAACTGCGTCAATGATCTTCGTATTCTTGCACAGATCCTTGAACCCTAACCCTTGAACTCCGATGCTTTTCGCCAAGGTCTCTAGTTTGACTTCATTAGCAACGACCAAAGCTACAACATTGCTCTCGTTGCTATCAGCCACCACACAGATCTGCTCAACCAAGGGACATATCTTCAAGACCATCTCCACTTGAGCCAGAGAGATGTACTCACCATGTTGTAGTTTAACCAGGTCCTTTTTACGATCTGAAATTTGAGGATAATAACAGTAAGTCGACATTTTCATATCAAGAAGAAACTGAATTATATAGAGGCATTTGAATCACAGCAAGTTAAGGCCAGGAATGGAGTAGGGGCAGCATTGTAAGGACTATGGGTTGCCCATCCAGCTTGATCAATCTCCAGGCCTGTCGTCTCTACTCCAGCGGCGTCGTGGCTAAGGTATTGCGAGTCCGACTCGTAATTCCAACGTACTGCGTCCGAAACCCACTGCTGGTTGCGGGGATTTTTATCATGGTTAGGGGCGTCGCAGGTCGACCAAGCCTAAAATAGGTACCAGGGTGGCTGTCCTAGGAAAGTAGAGACAAGCGGCGTAATGCTGACTACATTACCTACAGAGTGCTGATGGTCTGTAAAAAATATGGGAGCTCTTCCCTTATACCCGTTACGTCTAAAAGAGTGAAAAAGGATCTTTATTTTTCTTTACCTGCAAAGGAAACGTAACACTAAAATGTTTAAAAGCAAAACAAGCTGCATAGGCTGCCAGATCAAAAGAGCAGTTTTCTGTCCGACTGTAGCAGCTTTCTTCTGATACCTGCAGTCAACCAGGGCTCATGGTCTGGTCTGAAAACAGTTTTTCTATTATTTTTTCCTCTTCCTGCGATAAGACTGGTATCTTTCCTCGCGCTGTCCTCCCCTGTCCATTAATGGGGAACTAGCAGTACTGATGACTGTTATGCGTTAGCTAAGTAATATCTGACAAAGACCTGACCAGTATGCTGCTATGTTTAGTGGGTAATTAGAAATCTATGTATGTACAAAACCATTACACTGCTTGCCGCTCTTCCACTGAGTTTATGGCTGGCTGTTTGATCAGGTTTTCCCTTCTTTTTTTTTTTCTAAATAAAAGCTTTGGATTTGATATTTGAGTAAGTAAAGCCCGTACAGTCAGTCGGTCATATGTTGGATACAGATCTATCCTGATCTAAGCACTTCCCGTCCTTTTTAGGATGCAATTTTTCGTTATTTGAAGCCCTACCTGGCTCTTGCCAGGGACCGCAATATAACCAGGCCATAAATATGGTCTAATGTAAGAACGCGGTTTCTGGAACCTCTCCATGGTGATCCTCATCCACATGGTGGCACATTGTGTCATCCATCAGGTGTTTATCGCTTGTGTGATGTCCTGGTGGGGTAGAAAGTCAGTCAGTCAGCCTGGTCTTTCACTGTACCAAGGAACCGTTTAGTGTGATTTTTGAATGCCGGTAGATCCTATTACATGTCTACCCATGGGAAAGGGGTGGGGGTGGAAAAGGAAAATAGGATGGTGGGGGCCTGTTGTGTTAAGATACCTTTATTCTTCTTCAAAATTTTTTTCAAGGGAGCTAAGTGACTCAATAACCATGTATAGACGTTCGGTTGATATATATATATATATATATATATATATATATATATATATATATATATATATATATATATAAATATATATATATAATACTTATTTGTCATTCATCAGACAATAATAATAATAGTTTTCACGCACTTAAATAAAGCCTTAACTTTGCATTTTATATGTATATGTTTATGTGTGTGTGAGTGTGTGTGTGTGTGTGTGTGTGTGTGTGTGAACGCGCCAACGTGTATGCGTATCTGTATTGATGTG